CTCGTTTCAAAGTGACAAGGATTTTTCAATCTTCTTAAAACAATCATCACACGTTAATATAATAGTTTTTTTATACCACTTAAAAGAATAACTTCTGGTCCAAGTTTCGAGAGTCTTATAGCAAAGTACATTTCATTTAAATTTAATATCACACAGTGAATTCCTGGCTCCTAATCAACTGCAACAGCGTGACGTCATCATAATGTTTAAATTCTTGAAATCGTCAATATGGGGAATTAACGATTTTATGTGTTTAGCGGCATTTGTCCAGTTCGCGGCCAACTCTTGTTCAGTCTGGTGTATATACCCACCTATAGCAATGATAAATAATGGGCTGAATGAGACGAGATGCTGAATAAATGTATGTTCTGGAGCACCACAGGGGCGGTCGGGTAGCCTGGTGGTTAAAGCGTTCGCTCGTCATGCCAAAGACCTGGGTTCGATTCCCGACATGAGTACAATGTGTGAAGCCCATTTCTGGTGTCCCCCGCCGTGATATTGCTGGAATATTGCACAAAGCGGCCTTAAACCTCACTCACTCACTCTTGACCACCACACAGCTCGGAGGATGACACTTTCTTGATGACGTCATGGGGAATCCCATCTATAGCACGTGGTGTATATGCAGGTCATCGATAGCGTGCCCCTCCTTCATTTTGAATCTCGGTCGATTTAACAGTATGAATCGTGATTAGGGGTCGATATGAAGTATGTGAGTGAGTTTGGTTTTACGCCGCTTTTAGCAATTTCCAGGAATACCACGGCGGGGGACACCAGAAATGGGCTTCACACATTGTACCCATGTCGGGAATCGAACGCGGGTCTTCGGCGTGACGAGCGAACGTTTTAACCACTAGGCTACCCGGCCGCCCCCTATGAAGTATGTATTGAGACAAACAATTATACTATTCAAACAAACAACGAGAGTATACAATTTCAATATTTTAATATCCCCGTACATAAGACTAGCGTGGGTCGGGGATCTATCCCACGCCAGCCTTGACAATACATGCATGAACCCGCGAATTAAACTTCTTTGGTCAATGTATCCATTTTATAAAATATTATTCATTATTGGAGAAGCTGTCTATTGTTGAATACTCACTTGTTAGCTATTTACAGCTAGTTCATAGTAAACACGCCCATTGAAAAATCTGACGATCACACGTAATTCCTTGAAAAGTTGTTATTCCATTGTTGTCTCGCTACACACACAGGTTGTTATGGTAGTAGCGTACTAAACAGCTCCTGATTGTATTATCCTCAATGCGATGTTTATCTGAATATCTACACAGTCTCAGTCCTAACAGTAAGCCAACCGACTGTAATTGTAAACTCAACACACATAGCTATTAATTACATTGTACATTCAGCTGATCGAAGATTTGTGGGTTGCGCCGTCTTAGGCGCCGCGATTCGCTGTGCAGAGTTGCGTCCCTTGGGCACGCCAGAAACCTATGATTGTAGGTTCGAGTCCCGGTTCGCCCCGTGCTATCCGGTTTCGCCGCAGTGGTAAACGTCTGAGACCTGCATCACTTCGGGCTTTCCTCCCACATTAAGCTGACACACTGCGATATAACTGGAATACGGCTGTTAAAAGCGGCGTTAAACCCAACTCACTCACTGTAAGGTTTGCGAAATATTTAGGTGGATATTCCCAGTATATTGTACTAATCAACTAAAATACAGGTTGAATATCAATCAATAACTTTGTAGACACATGAGAAAAAATAAAATATAGAAAGGAGTTCGAATATACTTTATCATTGTTTAACTTTTAATACCGCTCTGGATAGGTTGCTTCGTCAGCACACTCACTCTACACATAGGTTGTTGTGGAGTGGGCCGTTCGCTTCCGTGTGCTAAAAACGCATGATGTAGGAAAGCGCACGTAAAATCTCCAAATGAGCTGCAGCCGCGGGCCGTTCAGTGGAGCACCGATCGCCCGAGAGGTGAGGTGAAATGGGGTTTAACGTAGCGTCTAAGATTATTGCACTTATATAGCGACGTGCATGTACGTGTGTGCGTGCGTGTGGCTGCTTGTTCTAGTCCGGACTGATGCCGATTTATAGTGCTAACTCACTGAGATACCATGCCGCAGTTTAACATGAAGTTAACATGAAGTTTTACCCCACTCAGACACCGACTCCGAGCCGACCAGTCCTTGTTTTAGCCCCTTAATGCCGAGCGCCAGACAGGGTAACAACAAGTACCATCTTTTAACGTCTTTTGGTATGACGCGGCCGGGGATCGAACCCCGGACTTCCGCTCTCCGGGCGGACGCTCTACCACTAGACCACGGAGGCGGTCTCGCCCGAGAGAACAGACGTGTTTCGACCGCGCTCTTCAGACGTTATCATAACATTCGTTGTTACTATTTACCTATAAAATAGTAACATCACATATATTTCATTAATATTATGACATGATGTATACAATATATAACAATTTGTATGGATAACTCATAATGCATGGTTGATATGTTTTTCATTTCTTAATGAGAATTTTAATGATATTACATAATTTTTAATCAAAATCGTTTTGATATATAACAATATGATAAATACCTTAACTGTAATTTAAAATTCTCATATGAAATAATTTACATGAAATATTATTCAAGAACTACGTGGCATCAACTTTGGTATCTGCTGTGACAATATGTCCGACTGTATGAGATCCTAAGGCTCCGGCCCCGGCTCCGGCTCCTGCTCCTATGGCTTCTCTAGCTCCTACCCCGACTCTGTGGGCTACGGCTCCTGCTCCTATGGCTTCTCCTCCAGCTCCTACTCCGACTCTGTGGGCTACGGCTCCTGCTCCTGTGGCTTCTCTAGCTCCTACCCCGACTCTGTGGGCTACGGCTCCTGCTCCTATGGCTTCTCCTCCAGCTCCTACTCCGACTCTGTGGGCTCCGGCTCCTGCTCCTATGGCTTCTCTAGCTCCTACTCCGACTCTGTGGGCTACGGCTCCGGCGCATACGCAACAGCAGATGTAGCAGCTAAAGAACCTATTGCACCCTCTTACAATGACTATACCTGGTCCGACATGCTGCGGGAAAACCTTTTTGGTGAAACAATTGTTGATGGATATGAACATGAAACCGAACCTTCAAAGAATCACATGGTTTTACAAACGATAGCAGCCTCTTTCCGATACAATCAAGAGAACAGTTCAACCATCAGTGGAATGTATACAAGGTATTACAACGGACTTTCACAACCGGAAAGTGAGAAATCTGATTGCGTTGGATGACCTCATTTACACCGTGACCAAGAACTCGCGATCAACGACTTGTTTCCTGAAAGGAGACATCATAGAAATCTGTCTGTGATCGCCATCAACCAGAATCTGTACGTCTGTAAAGACCCTACTCCACGTCGCAACTGTCACTGATTTGTGAACCTTAACAATCCAATAGACAAACAACAAGTCCTGACTTTGGCAAGGCAGATGTATACTGAGAAGTTTACACAAACCTTTGAACAAGTTACTCAAAAACCTTATGGTCACCTGTTAATCAACCTGAAGCCATTCACACCTAGCTCGGACAGATTATACCATAATGGATTATCTATAAAACCTAAGCTCATAGAAAGTGATCCGAAGCCATCGGAAGTTGAACAGCCGTATAATCTTCATGAGTATGGAATCCGAGAAGGGACATTGTCGCGTTTTCGCCCTTACAAAAACCAGCAAAAACAGTCAATATTACGGAAGCGCGACAAGGCGACATTTTGACAAGGAATTAAATTTAGCTTTGCCCGCAGGACAACCAGAGACAAAACACCCAGCACCACATTTGTAACACTGACGTCCACGTTGTCTCCTGGGGTGTAGTTAGGCTGCTGGAGTGTTGTGAATGTTTCCGTTGGGTTTATTGGTCTGGATATGACTGGAGTTGCAACTGATGGCGTGGTGGCTGTCACTGCCGAGATGGGTATTCATGGGATCATTTAACACAAAGTTCAATTGAAACCCGCATACTCCACCATGTTGCAACTGCTTCATCGCCATTTTGTATACGTAACTACCCGAATTCACCAACATGGTGTAATAGCTTTAGGGTTCCCATGGTTCACTTCAGCAGGTATACACCCTTCCGTGTCGGAGACGATAGTCTGCAACTCGAAGTTCTCGAAGTCCAAAGAAGAATAACTTTGACAATCCCTTGTTGGTTGAGATCAGAACCGTCCACAACCGGCCCCGACTTCCAGCGATACGCCAAATTTTGCTTCCACGTCACCGTCAGGCACGCCAAGCTTGGTGCAGACAGCATCTGAGGTTCAGAAGACAAGACTGGGACACCATACAGAGTCCAGATCCAGGTTTCATCTGGACAGCTCAGGTGATCGTGCAAGGATCCACAGCACCATGCCAGCTCTACTCGTTGCTTCAATGCCAGGCAATGGTAAGGTTCGCACGAAGTTCATGCACACAGTGAGGCTGTGTTGCAACGAAAATATTCGCATGTTTCTCTGCACGCGTACACAACAGACATAATTAAAAAATAACACGTTATTTTCTGATTGCGCAACATGTCACTGAATTGTCTGGTCGACATTCATTTGTTTACAGGCCGCCGTGGTATTGCTGTGTGGCTTTACAACAGAAACAGTTACTTACTTTTTAATGCAAATGGTAACTGGCGTGGGCTACTAGAAGTACAGGACATGCTTACCTTATTCAGGATCACCTGGTGTCACTACAGCTTTTCAGTGATCCATTCATATTGTTTTCACCACTATTTTGCCTTTTATGCCCAATGGAACAGGTTTCGGCTGATAATCGAGACTGATTGTTCTCTGGCGCTAATTCTCTTTTGACTAAAAATAGACACGCTTGACGAATACACCGCAAGGCGGCCGTATATATATTCCCGGGTGTTGGAAGAACGTTGTGGGTACATACCGGTGACATATTGACGATGGCACGAGGTACTTTGGACATCTTCTGCACTTGAATCACCATTGGCATAGCACAAAGAACATTCGGAGTAGGGCTTAAGATAAGATCATTTTATTTCCAAAAATAGAGCTGCAAACTGTACTTAATATAAACACCAACAAAACCAGTTTACAGAAATCTATCACACCGTCACCCACGCAACTACTTCTCTTCCTGCTAAGAAACGTGTCACACAAAACGGCTGGTGCAAATTGTGAATGTCCGACAACCATTTGGTGCAGAGTGGCAGGTCATCCCACACATTGCTTTGCTTTAGCAGCTAATACCAAAGCCACACATTCAATTTTAAGCTTGGGTCGATTCGAAATAAAAACATTTGTGTAACATTTCTTTTATACATTTTGGCATAAATTTGGTCTGTTTCGCGGGGGAAAGGCAATTTTGTTTATTGTGCAGGAAGTTGTTTTTTTTATCTTACCAGTGTCTGCGAAGGTTGTTCATGGTAGGTTACCACAGACTATATATATACACAACACACTAATACATAATTTGAAAAGGAAAGTTATTTTGATTTTTGTGGCACCGTTAAAGACAAAGCTACCTTTTTATGAATGTGGCTTTTGTTTCAGCTTAGATGTGATTAATTCATAACCTGAACAATAAAAAGCCTCCAACACAGAAGATCGTGTTAGCTAGATACAGTGCTAAAAATCCATTGTGGATCCCTTTAATTTGGAACCCAATGTCTATCTGTGACCCTGTGTGTGGACTACTAAGATCCGAAATGCGGACTCCATTTGAAACACCCTGAATCTGACCCTGGTATATGGGGACTGCTAAGATGTTCCTAATTACCATATACTTGTCACGTTACTTCACCTGGCAACAAAGTGTAATTAATTCCTATTTCATTATCAATTATCAACAATGGAGACTGGGTTGATTTATGAATTTCAACTTCTATATTCTGTCAATGCGATGTCTTGGTAGATGTGCAGTTCACATACTTGATGAAACCATTTGCTACTGTACATAACATCATATTGAAGTTTTGAAGTCCTTGTCTTCAGGGTGAAAAGCCTCCAAATGCCTCAAATTAAACCAGTAACAAAAAATGTTCTGATTCTCCTTACATAGTATATGGGTAAAACTTTTCTACCACTGTAATACACCACTACCTTGAGCAAAATGTCAAACTGATCTTGAACTTTCAACAAATAAGTTACTTCCGATAAGACTTATCTTAAATATTTCATAATGTGTCCCTTATGTACAATGACAGCCTTATAAATAACACTAAACAAACTTGTAACTATTTCACGAACAAACACCATGGCAACCATGGTAGTAGATTTATATCAACAACAAAACATGCTTTGTATTCAGTCTGAAAATCACACAATGATGTCAGTAATCAATCACGAACAGGTTATACATCCATTTCATTAACTGTGATGAAAATGTGACTGAAGAATTGTTTAGAAGTAGCATCACATCTGTCTGACAATAGTTGTTACATACAGATCAGTACACATTTTGTCATCAAAGGTACTGCATTTGCTGTGCCAGGGTTGTCTCCCTAAACCACACCAGGATCTGCTAATCTCCAATCACCTACTATCTGCATCCCTTCAGGAGTTTCTCCCTATAACATGATGCAACATGATATAACTGGCCTACTGTTCAAACTCACACAAAAGCTCACCTGGATAGTGTGGCATGATTTACATTGTTTTGGACAGTATTTCAGTTACCTATCTCAAATGACACAGGTGACATTCCTCACCAAGAAAAAAACGACACAAACATGTAACGGAGGGGACAAACCGAGGATGATAACCTGGTTAAGACGCGGATTTAGACTCATGACCAACAAATCCAGGTAGGGAACCTTGTCCACCGGGCCACATCAGCAATCTGTACAATAGATCCTCTTACTACTCTCCTCTAACAACCATAGCATGCTGCAGTTCATTCTGTTTTGTTGCAAAGAATTCAAGGACTTGTCCTTTTTGAGTTGTGATGTAACAGAATTCTGCACATGCAACACCAGATGTCACCTCCATTGGGTCAAACATTTAGGAGAAAAACATTGTCACTTCCTCTGGGTCAAAAACATTTAGGAGGAAAACATTGTCACTTCCATTGGGTCAAACATTTAGGAGGAAAACCATTTTCACTTCCATTGGGTCAAACATTTAGGGGGAAAACCATTTTCACTTCAATTGGGTCAAAAACATTTAGGAGGAAAAACATTGTCACTTCCTCTGGGTCAAAAACATTTAGGAGGAAAACATTGTCACGTCCTCTGGGTCAAACATTTAGGAGAAAAACATTGTCACTTCCTCTGGGTCAAACATTTAGGAGGAAAACCATTTTCACTTCCCTTTGGTCAAACATTTAGGAGGAAAACCATTTTCACTTCCCTTTGGTCAAACATTTAGGACAATAAACATCATCACATCCACTGAGAAAAAGAGATTGATAAAACATTGCTACTTCCATTTGGTCCAACACTTACTGGGGAAAACATTGTCACTTCCATTTGGTCCAACATTTACAGGGGAAAACATTGTGACTTCCATCTGGTCTAACATTTAGGATACAAACATTGTCACTTCCATAGAATAAATGTTAAGGAGAAAAACGACATGTTTTATTGAGTATTTCATGCCTGAATTTTCATAAGAACCAGTGTTAAGCTTTCCGCACCTCAAACACTCAAAAAAAAAACCAAATCACCAAAAAAACTAATTTTCAACATCATAAAAACAAACGGGTTGCAGTAATATTCCTAAGCACTCTCTTCCTGTGTGTTATAAAACAAGTGTCACTCAGGAATACCATGACGTCTTGCCAGAATGGATGATGTCATTGCTTCCATGGCCCCTGAACCCAAAGTGCTCTGACAATACTATTCAATATGTAATGAAAGCACTACTCGTGTTCCTTTGTCAGATGACCCTTTTTTAAACTAAGAACTCAGAAATGAAACAATACTGCCCAAGAACGTATGAGCGAGTGTGTTGGGTTTTACACCACTTTTAACTTTCTTCCAGTTATATCACAGTGTCCCAGCTTAATGTGGGAGGACATCCCCAAGTGATGCAGGTTTCAGATGCTTTCCTCTTTGCTGAAACCATCAAGCACAGTATGGTGCTGACAAACCTGGAAACATCATCAAGGAATTGCGGCATCTTGGATGATTAGGCCCCAAGCCCCCGAAGAGAGTATAAACAAGAGTTTGCCACTACATGGCTATATCCCCCGCCCCTGTTGCAGAATTTATGACATAATTAAATCTAAACAAACCCTAACCTTTTTTAACCGAGGTGGAACTTGTCATGGAAATTGTAAAAAATAAAAATTAATAAAATTTATAAATAGTAAATTGCACCAGTTCGGCATGTACCTGACAGAACTGCAAAGTTTCATGAAAAAATATTGAATGGTTTCTGAGTTATGCTCCGGAAACAAAACGTGACGGACGGACGGATGAAGCCCGTTTCTATATCCAACTTTGTTGGGCAGGGGATAACAATGAAAAGTTTCAAATCCCAGATAACAACATTTATCAACCATTTTTCAACACGCTCAAATCATTTTCACAATTTTAAATATCTGAGATGGGTCATATGCACTTTAGAAGGTTATTTAAAAACATTTTACATATGATACATATACACATGTAACTATGAGACCATGACAAATGATATAAATACAAAATATAGCAGAACATATTCTCACAAATGCATGAAGTAAATACATACAGACAGAACATGACTGTGTATGGTGAAGGTAAAGGAAATATCTACACAATGAACTCAATCTACCCTATTCTATGCATTAAGCGCCCTGCTCCCCAAAACACCCAACAACAACAAGTAATTATCAATATAACACATGGAGAATGTCTCAGAAATTATCACTGATTGAAACTGAAATACCTTCTATAAGTGCTGTTTGCTGGAAGGGCACTTTTAGAAATTATATCATATGAAGCAGTGATAAATGTTATTTCTCCCTGGACATGAAAATGGAAAATGGAAAATAGACTTTTCATCAATCTGATTGAAATGGGAAAGGGTTGGTTGGTTGGTTGGTTGTTTAACGCTGCACTCGGCAATATTCCAGCTATATGATGGCGGTCTGTAAATAATCGTTTCTGGACCAGACAATCCAGTGATTGATATCATGAGCATCAATCCTCGCAATGTGGAATCGATGACATACATCAACCAAGTCAGCGAGCCTGACCACCCAACCCCATTAGTCGCCTTTTACGGAAATCAGGTCCAAATTCAGAAGTTTGCCCTTTTTGTCACATATATTTCTAAACTACGATTCTATGCACAGTCCAAACAAAATCACGTGAGGAACTCAACATTCTGTTCATAAACTGCCATGCAGGTTTCAGAAATGCGTATCATAAACTTTTCGAAGTTTAAATCCAAGGTGCTAGCGTGATTTGATGCACTTCACGAAGTAAGACCTGTTTTATTACAATATAGATCTTGATCATCGATCACATTGTCTCCCCTGGGTGCCGCCATTTTATTTGAAGCAAATGCAGTTGGTATGAGAGGTGGAATCTGATTGGTCAAAAGGAGGGACATAGAAGAGACATAAGCGTAATAGCCACTGGTGGCTACGATCAAACCAAGAAATTCTGGCCCAGAAGGCAATGATGGAAACTGGACTTTTACAGTCAATTAACTCTCTTGCCTCGAGAAGATGATTTCCAAATGGCACATCTAGACATCCTTTTGAATGCCCTGTTACACTCTTGAAGGTACAACCCCTGTCTTATAAGCATCTTGTCCTGAAGCAATCAGAAGCGACAGTCGGAACAAAGTGCAAGAGGTAGTCTTCTTGAACTACTTTGAAAACTATTATCACCCTTGGCGCTTACTACATAGAATATGGTATATACATGACAATGCTATGTGCCAATACCTCATGTCTTACTCGCAAATATATAGATAAAACAAAACAATGTAAAAGAATGCATTGAAGGATAATGGGTGTCTAGACTAGCAATACTACGTATCACACCATCAGTGTTGTACCAATACACAACTGAGACATTCAGGTTCATGATGCCAGAAAGGGGCTGACCACTTGATATGCTTCGAGTTAATGAGGAAATTGTCTTCAGGTCTTAAAATACATAATGAAGCATTCACTGGACATGCTGAAAATTCTGAGAAATATTGTATTGTGGGTCCTGGGAAAAATAATGGTCTTTTCAAGTGAAAATTATTCCGTCTCAAATACAAATCCCAGACGGACATTTAGACCGACTCAACCATTGTTCAGATAAATAAAAAAGTTACACACGTAAACTACCTTGTTAGAAAGTACAATGTTGTTTCAGAATAAGAAATTTCACAATCGTTTGAAATTTGACATGCTACCATGTTCACAATATATGCACACATAAACAATTTGACCTCATTTCTATATTTATCGGATCATGAATTCATGCTCAGCTGGTTTATTGCATTGATAACATAATCCATTGTATGATAATGAGTAATGAGAAAATTTCTAAGAGTTGATAAATAAATGAGGCAGTGCATGTCTCTTACATTTGAGACAGCAATGACTTACATTTCAAGACCATAAGCTCATTTTCAAATATATTAAAAATATCTTAATGAATTGGGCAGCTTTTTATGAAACGATTCGAACATTTAGCCTACAGTGCCTACAAAACCACATCACAATCACAAGGCATTTTTTGAATTTGCTTAAATCACAAAATTAATCTGTGTTGTCATGGAAACAATTTTTTGCTGCATGAGTAAAATTGCAGTGATATGAAGTAGGTTCCTTCTGAACTTGATGCTACATGGAAGCGTTTTTACTGTTATGATGGTGTTGAAGTGATTTTGTCATGATCATATACAAGTATTTATTTCTTACATAAAAGAGCCAGCACAAATTTTTGACATGGAGATAAACAAGGTATTCTTATATGGCTGTTTGTAGACATGGTGTAGGATACCTATCAATATATATTTCTGCTGTTGCTATCCACTGAACTAGACATGAATACAATCCAACTGAGCTGTGGTATTTTCATGAATGACTTAACTGTGGAGAGAGTGAGTGAGTGAATGAGTTGAGTTGAAAGCTGCTGTGAACAGTTTTTAGGTCATCTGACAGTGTGACAGCTCCTTGTGTGTGTGTTTAAAAAAAATACCAAATGACACATTAGGTTAAAAAAATATAGGAATTGGTTCGTCAGAGCCACTAGTACAATTACGTGCTGGCAAAACAAGAAACATAATAATTCCAAAGAATCTTGGATTTGATCCCACAATTAGCTGATCCAGGAACAACCAGGGGACATAACCCCATGAGTACAGTGTAGTGCTCAGAAACCAAGCATCATAATTTGGAAAAAACTGGGATTTGATCCCACAATTAGCCTATCCTGGCACGACGAAGGGACATAACCCCATGAGTGCAGGTATAGTGCTGAAACATCAGGGATTGCAATTTGAAAGAATTTGGGATTTGATCCCACAACTAGTTGATCCTGGCCCAACTAAGGGACATAACTGTACAACATACTACACAAAGAGTTGTGACACCACAGACAACTGTCAGCCTATTCTATCTACCATAACTCAGTTGAGTTGGTTACGAAACTTTCACAAAGTCATACAGGATAACGATTGAGCAAACGACTGAATAGGGTATAAAACAAAGTGAACAAATGACAACTACATCACAACAGCCTTTAAATAACTGAATCTTGACCAGACAAACCAGAGGTTGATATCATGAGCAGTCTTCACACCAACCAGGTATATGACACAAGTCACGGTCTGATTTTAGTTGTTTCTACAAGCATTGTGCTATTGGAGCCCATTCTACCAATGGATCCCTATGGGACGGCAAATAACATACAAGCAAAATACTGTCATTGTGTCACGATGTCATCACCAGCACTAGACAATGCTAGAAGCAGCCATCAAGAAGGATGTCAAGGCAATGGATAACCCAAGCCATACTCCAACAAGCTGCAAATATACACACAACATAAAATAATACATACATAGCCATACATGACAGTAAAGGCACGTCCCTACAAGATGCACAGGTGCTAAAGACACTATGGCACGCAGTTGGAAATAATAATATTCACAAGTAACACCATGGCCTAAAATAAGTCCTCTCTAAAATATACACGCAAATACAATAAGTTCCTAGGATAACACAAGAGTGGGGTTGGTTTAACACTGCTTTGAGTGAGTGAGTGAGTGAGTTGGGTTTAACGCCGCTTTTAACAGTATTCCAGTTATATCACGGCGTGTCAGCTTAATGTGGGAGGAAAGCCCGAAATGATGCAGGTCTCAGACGTTTACCACTTCGGTGAAACCCACGAGCACGGGTATGGTGCTGACAAACCTAGAAACATAATCAGGGCGAACCGGGATTCGAACCCACAATCATAGGTTTCTGGTGTGCCCAAGGGACGCAAATCTGCACAGCGAATCGCAGCGCCTTAGACGACTGGGCCACCCGTGCCCCCAACACTGCTTTGACCAGTTAGTGGTGACATATCTGAAAGGCAGTTAGAGTAAGCAGTGGTACAGTCTAATGTAGTACCAAGACAATCTGACATCTTCTTTCAGTCTCCTTTGTCATGATGCCAACATGGTGAATGGGTGGGAAGCCACATCAATTATATAGATGTTGTCAGGGTCGAGCTGAAGATATCTTCCTGAAAACCTCTTGAATTGATGGAATAAACAAGAAAGAAAAAAGATGTCTAATATTTTCTTGTTTTCTATAATATACAGCATCTTTTATTACTATTTCACATCTGAAAACTTTAGCAAAGACTTGAGGAAATAATTAGTCGAAGTCTTCAAACTATCTACAAATAGTTTCATCCTATCACAGATTTCTTACAGATTCAGTGTTTTAATGGGATTATTGTACCACTATGACCAAATCTGACAACTTTCAAATAATAAACAAATGACTGGCTTTTTTTCATAAAAATATAACCTTAATGAATACTGTGCTTGTTAGTTTTTGGCAGAATTTGAGTGGGTGAGTGAGGAATGAAATAGTGGGTGGGAGGGTTGGTGAGTGAGTGAGGAATGAAATAGTGGGTGAGAGGGTTGGTGAGTGAGTGAGGAATGAAATAGTGGGTGGGAGGGTTGGTGAGTGGGTGAGGAATGAAATAGTGGGTGGGAGGGTTGGTGAGTGAGTGAGTGGGTGAGGAATGAAATAGTGGGTGGGAGGGTTGGTGAGTGAGTGAGTGAGTGGGTGAGTGAGCAATGAAATAGTGGGTGGGAGGGTTGGTGAGTGAGTGAGTGAGTGAGTGAGTGAGGAATGAAATAGTGGGTGGGAGGGTTGGTGAGTGAGTGAGTGAGTGGGTGAGTGAGGAATGAAATAGTGGGTGGGAGGGTTGGTGAGTGAGTGGGTGAGTGAGGAATGAAATAGTGGGTGGGAGGGTTGGTGAGTGAGTGAGTGGGTGAGTGAGGAATGAAATAGTGGGTTCGAGGGTTGGTGAGTGAGTGAGTGAGCGAGTGCATTTGGTTTAATGCCATCTTGTCATATTTCAGTTCTGTCCCATGATGTGAGGCAGGGTTCAAATGTTTACCACTTTGGTGAAGCCCACAAGTACATATATATGGTGCTGACAACCCTAAAAGCAACATGAGGATGAATCAGGGATTTGAACTCTGTACAGTGAATTCCAGTGCCACCCCTATCCATTTCATATACATCTGGAGCATAATTTCCTGTTCACACTGACTAGGTCAACTCTCTCAATGCCACTGGGATGGAAATTATAACCTTCAGTGATGATGATAGTAGACATAATTTCCTGTTCACACTGACTAGGTCAACTCTCTAAATGCCACTGGGATGGAAATTATAACCTTCAGTGATGATGACAACAGTAGACATGGTGACTGTGTCGTCATGGCAACACTGAAGCATTATGGGGCAGTGAAGTCAGGTAGAAATGTATCTTGATCACTAGTCGTTATGATGTAAAACATTTTGGAATACCAAAACCCACTCTCACCAATCAATCACAGCACCTCGACTGTCATACGTACATGTCCAACTGTGGAGGTTAAGATCGTCGTAGTGTTAAGATCGTCGTAGTGTTAAGATCGTCGTAGTGTTAAGATCATCATAGTGTTAAGATCGTCGTAGTGTTAAGATTGTCATAGTGTTAAGATCGTCGTAGTGTTAAGATCGTCATAGTGTTAAGATCGTCGTAGTGTTAAGATCGTCATAGTGTTAAGATCATCTTGTGCAAGTGGACCCTGCCATACTGAATTTTGATCGGGTTATACGACTAGAACCAGTACCTTACACTAAAAGCCATGTCATGGAATCATTCTAATCAGATTAAAATTCAGCAAATCATTTCACACTAGGCCTCCTTCCACGATATAAGTGTGGCAGAAAGCCTATTGTCAATCAACCCCAGTACTTTAACAGGCGAGACAAATGCAGGGCCAAACATAAAGTAAGCCGATAAGTTTTCTAGGGATTGATTTCCAGTACCAACAATAACGGACGGTTTTGATGTCACGGATAGTACAGGTACATGACTGTAAGCTGATGAAAAGCTACACTTAAACCATTGCAATTGTACAGTTATTCAATAAGGCTTAAAAAAAAAGAAAGAATTGGTTCTCAGGCAATGACCATGGGGTCTTTTTTTATAATGTTTGCTTGTTTAAGCTAATATGTAACCAAACAAACAGTTGTGTACCATCAACCTGGGAAACGGACTCCCTACATAAAGTAGCATACAAACTCCCATTGCCATCATAACCATAAACACGAGATGCACAGGAAAGCAGAGTGCATGTAAAATGAAGTAACTGTGTGCTATATTGGATTGCTTTGTTTTTGAGTATTAGGAAAATTTTTTTTCTTTTTAAAATGGAAATAAAAACGAAACATGCCGCAGACTTTACGATGATGCAGGCGGCGCCTGAGAACAAGACTGTTATTTTTTGGGGCCTAAATTCTACATGTTTGCTATGTATGTATGAGACGACGTCAATGTTTTCTAATTAAAAGAATGGACATGATTCAAACATGTTAAAAGCTAAGAAAAAATAAATATATGGTCATAAAAGATTCAAAGGTGAATTAAAACAACATGGAAGAACAGGAACAGGAACATTGTGAAGGAACATGGACAGTGGTGGTTACTGGAATCACAGGGATGTGTGCACAATACAACTGAGGCATGGTGACAACAGACTGTCCTTGCAATGTTCCCAGTTGTCACACACTCTCAGTACAAATGCCAAACACACTCACCCTGATGCCACAGTCACAGTGACACACTAGAGCTCACTTGAAATGCTCACAAATCAATTAAGGCACAGAAAAAACATGGAAATATTCAACTTTTTAAACATGACATAGTCAGTGAAAGGAACATCAAAGATCCATAACTCACACTGTCAAATTTCAGAACTGGGGTTGTTTATGTAGCACTCTAAACAACATGGCGGCCAATTGGTAAAAATAGTTCGAACTACTTCAGCGCTGAATTGAATGCAATGACGTACAAATAAGCCTCACCTCTTTATTGGTCCTCTAATCCAATAAGCACAAGTCACCTTAACCAAGCCATCGCAGTTGTTATAACTGGGATTGTATTATTTCCATTTGGATATCTACTGACATTTGATGCAGATTTAGGGCCGAATGTCTGCCTCTAGGTCTAGATTAACCCCCGTAGAATGCCAATAAACAATTTAACCATTGATGTCAATAGCAGGAGAGATGTTATGTGGGTCTACACACTACATAAATTGTAAAGCTCCGTGAAATTTATATCTGAGGTTTACTTTGAGCTTCACAAGAAGTATTCTGTTGGTTGATCCAATGAAAGCTTGGTACCAGAACTAAAGCTTCTACTAGCACCGAGTGACCCTTGGGTCAGTTACCCCACATATTCTGCTGTGTATTTCTTGAATTGTTTTAGTCTGATATCTTCAACACAAAATGTAACGTTTAACTAATTGAACTGATGCAAAACATGTGCAAATTAATGAACATTATCTTCAACCTACACTTCAGATTTTGAACGGTTATCTTCCTCCAAGAGAAACCAAAGATGCAGCTGATATGACTGCCTGTAGACCAAAGTGGGCCCGGTTCATTTACACAGCAGGGGAGGCTACTCTTGGTACAATCTCATAAAAAGGGAGATTACTCCAAATCTCGGTTCACAGAAGGGGAGGTTACTCCCATTCCACTTCATCTGGGTTGTCTGGTGGTATGACCAGGAACAGTCTTTGAAAGAACTTGTTGATAGAATCTGAAACAGACAGCAGTTGTTGACATCAATGGCAATGAAATATTAAGATAAGAATCATATTAACTCAACAAATGGCTATGATTTAGTGATTATGGTTTAACGCCGCTTGTAGCAATATTCCAGCAATATCACAGCAGGGGACATCAGAAATGGGCTTCACACATTGTACCCATGCTGGGAATCGAACCCGGGTCTTTGGTGTGATGAGCGAATGCTTTAACCACTAGGCCACCCAACCGCCCCAAAATGGCTGTGAAATCTTAAGGTCTAGAATGGAACAAAAGCATGGGCAATGGACACCAACTTGACACTGATCAGATCACTATCATCTTAAATGAAGTTAACTAAACGCAATGGACTGAGGCCATTTTCTGTTTGATTATTTGTTTATTTGACCCACACAGACCGACATTCCAGAAATATGATGGGAGGCTGTATATCAATGAGACAGTCCAATGACTGATATTATGAGCAACAATCAACACAGTGGGGGTACGATTACACGCAATCAACCATGTCACCGAGCCCTACCACTCCATCCGAAGTCATCTCGTATGACAAGACAGGTTGCTCGGGACCATTCCAACCCAGAGTCCCCCACACGGGTGGCCTTTTCTACATTTGCAGCATAAGTCAGCACAGAGAATGCCTGTGCTTATCGATCTGCACTGGCTCCAAGTAGAAGCCCGAATACAGTACAAGATCCTGACCTATATGTACCACTGCTACAACCAGTCAGTAACTTCCTACTTCTATGACCTTAATGCAACAGTGCTAAAACCAGTCAGCAACTTCCTACTTCTCTGACCTTAATGTACCAGTGCTACAACCAGTCAGCAACTTCCTACTTCTATGACCTTAATGTACCACTGCTACAACCAGTCAGCAACTTCCTACTTCTCTGACCTTAAAGTACCACTGCTGCAACCAGTCAGCAACTTCCTACTTCTCTGACCTTAATGTACCACTGCTACAACCAGTCAGCAACTTCCTACTTCTATGACCTATATGTACCACTGCTACAACCAGTCAGCAACTTCCTACTTCTCTGACCTTAATGTACCACTGCTACAACCAGTCAGCAACTTCCTACTTCTCTGACTTTAATGTACCACTGCTACAACCAGTCAGCAACTTCCTACTTCTATGACCTATATGTACCACTGCTACAACCAGTCAGCAACTTCCTACTTCTCTGACCTTAATGTACCACTGCTACAACCAGTCAGCAACTTCCTACTTCTCTGACCTTAATGTACCACTGCTGCAACCAGTCAGCAACTTCCTACTTCTCTGACCTTAATGTACCACTGCTACAACCAGTCAGCAACTTCCTACTTCTCTGACCTTAACTCTTTCAACACCAGTCAACCAGAAGTGTTTACTGCTGGGACACCGAGTTCCCAGAGGCTCTAGTGTGATAGATGAAGCCAACATTTATCAAAGAAAATACCTGCTTGTAAAATATAATTGCTACTACATGTTATACACCATTTGAAAGGTCTGATCCTATGGTTTATAAATATGAAAGTTATGTTTTTCACATTATTTAAAATAATGCATTTACAACTTAATTAAATTCGTTGTAAATAAAAAATGTACGCTTACACGTTGTTAACATCCAGATTAAGGACCAAGGAAGCGAAAACTTGACGATTTTCGGCAAATATATGATTTCATAATATCCACGTACCTATTTCTATTTTATTTTCATTGTTTACGTTATTGGAAAATCATTTTAAAAAGAATTATAATATAGTCTCTGTCATCACCCATTTCCCGATAACAGCGACTGTCCGCTCAGTAAAATGAAGAAATACCCCCGTTTTTGAGGTTTCGTATGAATAACACGTTCGTCGAAGAATGGCATATGACACATCGCTGGAAAGCTTATTCCTTCATCTACACGCTCGTAACATCGACTGGTTTTTTTCCGTAGTTATAACAAGCGATTTCATTGGATTAAAATTGGTTTCTAATGACGCTTTCTTGCTGAAATCTGCTACAAGTTTCGTGATTGGTCAATTTTGAGCACGTGACCTAAGACAGCCAATCAAATTACAGCTGTGATACCAAGCTCGTGTTCGATAAATTACAGAAGTTTGCGAAAGAATTTTGTTAAATCGTGTTATTCTGAACGTTTTGAGCAGGAAATCACGATATATATTAAAAATATGGAACTTCGTGAATGTATCGTGCTAGGTTACGAGCTGTGACAAAGATTTTTCATGCATATATTTTTGCATTAAACATCGTGTCCGAGCCGAGAATTCAAGGCGACGAAAGCCGAGATGTCATTTGACTTACATTACACGCGATCGCACGAAAAGATGAAAATAATAACTTAGATGTAAGTTTGATTACTTTTAGATATATTTTTGTTGATTTTATATATTACTTTGTATAATATATTTAAAGATTTGTTTAAAACGTCTTTATTTTCCTCTTTGACGTGTTCAATGTGGACCCCTTGTCGAAATGTGTGTCCGAGAATTTTATTTTCAATAACATCGCGGGAAATAGTGAATAATTTTTTAATTTAACGATAAAAAATGTTAAATTGAAATGGAATATGTATTTCAGACATTGTGAAATGTGATAGATTTAATAAATGAATGATATTACAGGTAGGTCCATAAAAATATAGTACTATTTTGACGTGACTACGGCTTGGCCGGATAACCGGCCTGCGGTGTCTGGGGACTCGATGCTTCTTGGCCGGATAACCGGCCTACGGTGTTGAAAGAGTTAATGTACCACTGCTGCAACCAGTCAGCAACTTCCTACTTCTCTGACCTTAAAGTACCACTGCTGCAACCAGTCAGCAACTTCCTACTTCTCTGACCTTAATGTACCACTGCTACAACCAGGCAGCAACTTCCTACTTCTATGACCTTAATGTACCACTGCTACAACCAGTCAGCAACTTCCTACTTCTCTGACCTTAATGTACCACTGCTACAACCAGTCAGCAACTTCCTACTTCTCTGACCTTAATGTACCAGTGCTACAACCAGTCAGCAACTTCCTACTTCTCTGACCTTAATGTACCACTGCTGCAACCAGTCAGCAACTTCCTACTTCTCTGACCTTAATGTACCACTGCTACAACCAGTCAGCAACTTCCTACTTCTATGACCTTAATGTACCACTGCTACAACCAGTCAGCAACTTCCTACTTCTATGACCTTAAAGTACCACTGCTGCAACCAGTCAGCAACTTCCTACTTCTCTGACCTTAATGTACCACTGCTACAACCAGTCAGCAACTTCCTACTTCTATGACCTTAATGTACCACTGCTACAACCAGTCAGCAACTTCCTACTTCTCTGACCTTAATGTACCACTGCTGCAACCAGTCAGCAACTTCCTACTTCTCTGACTTTAATGTACCACTGCTACAACCAGTCAGCAACTTCCTACTTCTCTGACCTTAATGTACCAGTGCTACAACCAGTCAGCAACTTCCTACTTCTCTGACCTTAATGTACCACTGCTACAACCAGTCAGCAACTTCCTACTTCTATGACCTTAATGTACAAGTGCTGCAACCAGTCAGCAACTTCCTACTTTTCTGACTTTAATGTACCACTGCTACAACCAGTCAGCAACTTCCTACTTCTCTGACCTTAATGTACCACTGCTACAACCAGTCAGCAACTTCCTACTTCTCTGACCTTAATGTACCACTGCTACAACCAGTCAGCAACTTCCTACTTCTCTGACCTTAATGTACCACTGCTACAACCAGTCAGCAACTTCCTACTTCTCTGACCTTAATGTACCACTGCTACAACCAGTCAGCAACTTCCTTCTTCTCTGACCTTAATGTACCACTGCTACAACCAGTCAGCAACTTCCTACTTCTCTGACCTTAATGTACCACTGCTACAACCAGTCAGCAACTTTCTACTTCTCTGACCTTAATGTACCACTGCTACAACCAGTCAGCAACTTCCTACTTCTCTGACTTATCCGGGTATATCAACCATCCAGCTCAAGACATTCCTGTTCAGCCTCTCAAATCTAAAATCAACACCAACTGCCAGAACTATTTGTCTTGTATCTATGACCTTGTATCAGCAGAGTTTTTAGCTATTTTATGTAGCACTCTGAGCATTCACCCAGTGTATGGAATTAAGCAAATAACAATTGTACATATTATTATTTTTTTTTTTTTTTTTTTTTTAGCCTTATAATAATAAATATAATAATAGTATTAATAGTCTTGGTTCTAGCATCAATGTAAAGTCTGCTGCACGTTTCATTTTTATTTCCATTTTTAAACTTAAAAACAATGCGATCCAATATAGCACACAGTTACTTCCCTTTACACTCACACTGCTTTACTGCCCATCTTGTGTCATGGTCACGGCAGCAATAGGAGTTTGTATGCTTGTTTAAATAGGGAGACCCTTTCCCAGGTTGATGGTACACAACTGTTCATTTGGTTACATACTAGTTTAAACAAGCAAAGAAAAAACAAACAATTACACCGTCTGCCCAGACTGTATTTTCAAAAGTCATTGCCTGAGATCCAATTCTTATATTTTTTTAAGCCAAACTTACTGATCTTGGTCTGCAGCTCCCGCGGTTTGTTCTGCCACCTGTTGCCAATCACATAGAAGACTGAGCCAAAGAGAATGAGGCCCAGTGCCATCAAGCTTTCAGAGGGCTTCTGGTAGAATGTGAGCACCACGATGGCCAAACTGATGACACTCAGGGCTATTGGCAGCGCAACTGGTACCTGAAATCAGGGGAGTGAGTGAGTGAGTTGGGTTTGACGCCGCTTTTAACAGTATTCCAGTTATATCACAGCGTGTCAGGGGAGGAAAGCACGAAGTGATGCAGGTCTTAAAGAACATCTCCAACGAGGGGAGAAAACCCATGAGATTAAGAGTGAGTGAGTGAGTTGGGTTTTATCGCGTCTTTTAACAGTATTCAAGTTATATCACTGTGTGTCAGCTTAATGTGGGAGGAAAGCCCGAAGTGATGCAGGTCTCAGATGTTTACCACCTCGCTGAAACCCACGATCACGGGCATGGTGCTGACACACCCAGAAACATAATCGGGGCGAACCAGGATTTGAACCCACAATCATAGGTTTCTGGCGTGCCCAAGGGACGCAACTCTGCACAGCGAATTGCGGCACCTTAGACGGCTGGGCCCCCCGTGGCCCCTGGAATCAGAGGAAGCAGTATCAGAAATGGCATTCAGCATACGTGACCCACCAGGAGGAAAGGGACCTTAAGGGTGCTAGGATACAATTGTGCTTTGACGTTATAACGTCGTAACTCTCGTTGTGAAACAGAAATGTCTGATGCCATTGCAATAATGCAACACTAACTATAATGCATAATTTCCTACGTACTGATAATTATTTTGACATGAACGGAAAGGAGTTATGAGTAATTGTAATGTCCTTGGTGTTACCGCCTCACCTCAATTCTGAAAATGACTCAGGTTAACACACATTGCATGGCATGATTTGTAACAAGTACAAAGAACATGTTCAATAAATAAAGAATATTAAAATTATATCTCGATCATTTTGGTCATGTGTGGGACACAGAGAAGAGAAAATTATCAATTTTTATTTTCATTTTTCACAAAGAGTGATGAAACAGGCATTAAAACGTGGTTATATTAACAGTGAGATTCTTTTTCTTTTCTAGTCAGAGGTTAAATAATATTAGTTTTACAATAATACACTCAAAGAAATATTGTATCTATTTTTTTTTCCTGCAAACTAAAATGGTTACACCAAGGACAATAAATGTCTTCTGTTTCTCCAGTATGTTTAAAATATGACAAAATTATGTTCCTTTGTGTTGGCATAATTTACCCAACTATTTATTAAGTTTAGATGTTTCTTGTTATATTACTAAAAGTTGGAATTTTCAAGTATTATTTTTGTTAAATCAACAGGACCAAAGGGGTACAAATTTTACTAATGACATGTATCATAACTGCCATACATTGACTTTTAAATCATATTTTTTGCAGTGTGACTACAGTTAACATAAAGTTTTCGTGATCACGATCACAGGAGCCCTGAAGGGCTGGTCATATTATTACCTAAAAAATATCTGGTAACAGGGATCAGCTGTACTAAAGTGTTACGCGTATGGTTATTTCTATTTTAACTACCATATTTTTTTAGTATAGTGTGCACCCATGTATAATGCGCACCCCCCTCTAGCGGATTCAGTATTTTGAAAAAAAAACATTTTCAAATATTATGAGCGGAAAAAATTTATATAAACCGGTGATAAGAAACTTGGTCAGTAAAAATTTGCAATTTCAGATAAAAAATAAATAATCACCAGACGTGTAGATTTACTGTTTAAATTGTATTTTTTGTTCTGCTAAGCTGTTAAAAAACGGTGAGTTGTGCGATCTTCCGATCGCTTCACACATGATTTTGCCGAAATTAATTAAAATAATAAAAAAATGGAATTTTGAATAAAATTAATGAAATAAGTTACAAACATAAGTCCAGATATACAATGAACACTTTTCAAAACCAGACAAAAGAATTACATGATTAATTTGCATACTTCAGTATGGATTTGTTGACATGGTATTTCCAGTGTTAAGTGCTCACGGTAATGTCTTTGCGTTGGGGGAAAAAAACCCATTAAAACTCATTATGGCATGTATAATGCGCACCCCATTTCTACCGAGCTGTGTTTTTTTGAGAGAAAAAAAGTGTGCACTATACTCAAGAAAATATGGTATATATATATAGTGAAGCTGCAACAAAAGTAACATGATATTGGAATATACTTTTCCTGATAAAATAATTCTTCTGATCATTGCATAAAAATTCTTTAAATGTATATTAATGAGTCATTTTTAACCGAATCACCGGTAGATTTGGAGAAAACATGTGTACAGGAGATTGCTATTTCTGCCTCAGTTTGCAAGAAAATACGGTAATCTCAATCTCTGCATATAAAACAATGCCTAGCAGAACTGGAAATAGAATTTAAATGGTAAATCCTCATGTCTTGTGTTGCTTTATTTCAAATTTCAAATCTGTATTGTCCAAGTTTGTTATCACCTGTTTGTTAAGATGAATTTGCTTAAGGGACACATTGTACTATTTTTCTTAGAATAATATTAAAAAAAATAAAAAATTCAAAAATACTGAATCGCCAAGATGGGGGTGTGCACGATATTCAAGAAAATAGGTAATTATTTTGGTGGCCAAAGGGATGCAACTCTGCAACATCAAACTGTGGCACCCTAACAGATGACTCTTTCATGACCCCGATCCTGCCCTTGCTGGTGACTCCCAACAATCGTGACCAACTCGTGTTATTCCGGGACAAGCCGAATAGCGACTCATGCCCCTCTCGTGGCCATTTTTGCGACCGGGTTCCGTCTTAGCGCAAAAGGGCATACCTATAACAATTGTCAACTCGTTGCGTAATGGTTCACACATATTTCCCCATATATCATATATATTTCAAATGCAATTTAAAGCACATCTGGACACGCGGAATTATACAGTAAGATTGAACACATGTACCTGTGTCTTGGGTATATTTTTAGATGCAAGACATTTGTAAAATCAAAAATTATTTCTGAGGGATTCTTTGCCAAAGAACTTGAAATCATACACAAATTCTGATTGGTTTGTCTATTTTCGCGCATTCATCGATAGGGGGACGAGTCTTCTTGCAAGTTACAGAGAGGGGCGAGTGGTGACGAATGTAGGGGGACGAGTCTTCCTGCAAGTGACAGAGAGGGGCGAGTGGTGACGAATGGACTCCCAACTGACCTTGATGGGTCTCTTCATGTCCGGCTCCTTGTATCTGAGATAAGCCTGTCCGGCAAACACCACTGTGAGTACCGTGGCAAACCCGAAGCCCTCCATCTCGATCAAATACCAAATATCATTGGACGACTGGAAACATGTGACCAGAGCCAGCTGCAAGAAGGAGTATATGCATCAGAAGATATCACAATGGATTATCAGTGCCAGGGCTGCAATGAATACACTATGAGGCAAATATGATTCATATCATGAATAAAGGGTAACGAGTATGAATACTAATACACGAATACAATAACAAGTAACGAATACGAATATTAATTCACGAATACAATAACAAGTCAGCAGTTGATGTATTATTTGTTATCTTCAGTGAAACAATAACAACATAAGTTATTTGACATGGTTTGTTAATTATTAATATATTATTCATTTATATACTGCACTTATCCAGATACTAGTATCTGCTCAAATGTGACAATGACCAGTGACCACAATACTGCCAAATTAAATAATATAAGAGTGTTGTCTTTGAAGAAATCTAAGCATATAATATATTGTTATGGATATTTTTAGGTACAGGGTAAGTAAATGCACATGATTGCATGTTCATAAATATTCGATTCCAGAGGCCACGAATAACAAATTCAATTCATGAATGGATTTGGTTTGATTGACCAAATACGCGAGTGAATCGTAACAGCCCCAATTATCATAGTGGCTTTTTTACTATGTAAGCCTCATGACATCATGATTCATAACTTTTCTCAGGCATATTATGGAATAGTTTGTAGGTCGCAGCATATTTGAGTAAGTGAGTGAGGTACTCGGACAAGGGGCACTGTCAACACTTACAATGACAAACAGTGATGAGGCCGGGGTCAGGTACTTGGACAAGGGGCACTGTCAACACTTACAATGACAAACAGTGATGAGGCCGGGGTCAGGTACTTGGACAAGGGGCACCTGTCAACACTTACAATGACAAACAGTGATGAGGCCGGGGTCAGGTACTTGGACAAGGGGCACTGTCAACACTTACAATGACAAACAGTGATGAGGCCTGGGTGAGGTACTTGGACAAGGGGCACTGTCAACACTTACAATGACAAACAGTGATGAGGCCAGGGTCAGGTACTTGGACAAGGGGCACCTGTCAACACTAACAATGACAAACAGTGATGAGGCCGGGGTCAGGTACTTGGACAAGGGGCACCTGTCAACACTTACAATGACAAACAGTGATGAGGCCGGGGTCAGGTACTTGGACAAGGGGCACCTGTCAACACTTACAATGACAAACAGTGATGAGGCCTGGGTGAGGTACTTGGACAAGGGGCACCTGTCAACACTTACAATGACAAACAGTGATGAGGCCTGGGTGAGGTACTTGGACAAGGGGCACTGTCAACACTCACAATGACAAACAGTGATGAGGCCAGGGTCAGGTACTTGGACAAGGGGCACTGTCAACACTTACAATGACAAACAGTGATGAGGCCAGGGTCAGGTACTTGGACAAGGGGCACTGTCAACACTTACAATGACAAACAGTGATGAGGCCAGGGTCAGGTACTTGGACAAGGGGCACCTGTCAACACTTACAATGACAAACAGTGATGAGGCCGGGGTCAGGTACTTGGACAAGGGGCACCTGTCAACACTTACAATGACAAACAGTGATGAGGCCGGGGTCAGGTACTTGGACAAGGGGCACCTGTCAACACTTACAATGACAAACAGTGATGAGGCCGGTGTGAGGTACTTGGACAAGGGGCACCTGTCAACACTTACAATGACAAACAGTGACGAGGCCGGGGTCAGGTACTTGGACAAGGGGCACTGTCAACACTTACAATGACAAACAGTGATGAGGCCGGGGTCAGGTACTTGGACAAGGGGCACCTGTCAACACTTACAATGACAAACAGTGATGAGGCCGGGGTCAGGTACTTGTACTGGATCATACCCATGAAGTGTGGCATATGGTTGTTCTGGGCACCGATGAAGAACAGTCTGTAACAGAGAGTTACACAAGTTTTGTTTGCTGGTTTGTTTGTTGTTCAACACCGCACTCAGCAATATTCCAGCTATATGATGGCGGTCAGTAAATAATCGACTCTGGACCAGACAATCCAGTGATAGACATCATGATCATCGATCCATGCATATGGTATAACCTGACATGCATCAACGAAGTCAGCGAGTCTGACCACACAATTCTGTTAGTAGCCACTTACAACAAGCATATTCGCCTTTTACGGCAAGCATTGGTTGCTGAAGACCTATTTTACCCCAGATCTTCACAGGTACAGTTACACAAGTCTGATTAAGAGTGAAAATATTTATCTTTTATTGATGCCACCTTATTATTTCTGCTTAAGGTCTAATGAACTCTTGTGTTTTAAGTGTGTCATTCTGAACTGGATCTGACACACAAAAACGTTTCAGATGAGTGAGTGAGTATGGTTTTACGCCGCTTTTAGCAATATTCCAGCAATATGACAGTGGGGGACACCAGAAATGGGCTTCACACAATGTACCCATGTCGGGAATCGAACCCGGGTCTTCGGCGTGACGAGCGAACGCTTTAACCACTAGGCTACCCGACCACCCGAAATTCAGATGAACATACCTAAACAATCCAACTTAATCGAAGAAACCTTCTCCCAATACTGTATATCTACAATCATACTCACAGAAGAAATACTAAAACACTTTGAAACAATTGTGTATCAGTCAATAAGACTCCCAAATACTCTTGTCACAGACTATTTCATAACTTCTGGAATCACTAAGGCACTGGTATTAGATTATCAATAATTAATGGAACGCAAGTTAGCTACAGAAGTCAGTAGTATGATGGGAGATAGTTCAGACCTCGACATTGAAAGGGCTGTTCCATTCATGGTTCCCATCACGGAGACTGCTATGAGGATGGGCATCAGCCATGACATCACACCCATTGTCTGACCCGCAAACGTCTGGAAACATAATAACAGAGTTACTGTCAGCATGGTTAGCACATATTCCACTATTGTGCTTTCTTAGCACAGAAACATAAAACCACTTTGAAAGTCTTTTTATCCCCCGCCCAACAAAGTTGGCTGGGCATATAGAAACGGGCTCCGTTCGTCCGTCCATCCATACGTCCGTCCGTCACGTTTCGTTTCCGGAGCATAACTCAGAAACCGTTCAATATGTTTTCATGAAACTTTGCAGGTCCATCAGGTACATGCTGAACTGGTCCCCATTGCTATTTAGACATTTTAGACATTTTAATTTTTTACGTTTCCATGGCAACAAGATGGACTTAGGTTCCAAACTCTTCTTTTTTTTACAATTTCCATGACAAATTCCACCTCGGTTAAAAAAGGTTAGGGTTTGTTTAGATTTAATTATGTCATAAATTCTGCAACAGGGGCGGGGGATATAGCCACGTTAGTGGCAAACTCTTGTTTGTTTTTGTTTCTACTCTCTAAAGTTGCAATAATCATTAAATGCAAACATGTTTTACAGTTGTCAAAAAATCTGAAACTATGTTCAACAAGTAGAGTGTCATCCATATTCCCTGCCATCCTTGCAAGCTTACAATTGTAAACAAGCATTAAATACTCACATCCCCCACAAATAATACATGTCTGGTTTTGAGCAAGGCATTAGCCCTATGGAAGCAAGCACTTCTGCCATTTTCAGTCTAAGTCAAAGTCATTGCAAAAAATATATTTAAAAAAAATGCAAAACTATCAAAAGGCACCAGTTCACCACTAGACCTATCCATGTGCCAAATGTGGTTAAAATATCTCATGATTTTTTAGTTCTGCACCAGAAACAAAACATGATGGACAGATTGACGGATGGACAAACACCCATCATTATATCCCCCTTCCAGTTTGATTTCTTTGAAATGACAGCCACTAGTCCTGCATTGTCCTTACTCATCTAATAAATTTACAAATATTTCATGAAAAAAGGTTTGGCGTAAAAAACAAACCCTACACTCATTTGGTTGGTTGGTTTATTGTTTAACACCGCACTCAGCAATATTCCAGCTATATGACGGCGGTCTGTAAAATAATCGAGTCTGGACTAGACAATCCAGTGAATGATATGAGCATCGATCCACGCAATTGGCATCAATGACATGCATCAACCATGTCAGCAAGCCTGACCACACAATCCCGTTAGTTGCCTCTTACGCCAAGCAGTCGCCTTTTACAGCAAACATGGGTTGCTGAAGACCTATTCTACCCCAGATCTTCATGGGTCAACACTCAATTGAAGATGAACTGAGAAAAAATTATTTCTATGATCACATGGTTGAGGCGTTGACTCGCCCATGTCTATTGTATACATATTGAAAGCATGTAGCATAGCATATGGTGCTACATCAATGCCCTTTTAATGAATGCAGTTGTGCGGAATATAGCATGTGGGGACAGTGGGATTTGATACGCCCAAGTAGTGACTGACACGAGCTTACCACAGCCACAGCAGTCGACTTGAGCATCGATGTTGGGGAGAGCACAGCGAGGTATGCGATGTTGGTGACCAGGTAGATGGAGATTACAAGCACCATGGAGATCATGATGGCTCGAGGCAGGTTGCTGAGGAAGACAACACACATGCTTATAAATAGATTTTAACTATGACCAACTTGAATCAGTTTTTGTTGTTTAACGTCTTACTTAGTGAGTGAGTATGGTTTTCTGCCTTTTAGCAATATTCCAGCAATATTCCAGTGGGGGACACCAGAAATGGGCTTCACACTTTGTACCCATTTCAGGAATCGAACCTGGGTCTTCGGCGTGAGGCACAAGCGCTTTAACCACTAGGCTACCCGACCGCCCCGTACTTAGCATTATTACAGCTAGATTACAGTGACATAAATTATCGAGTCTGGACCAGACAAACCAGTGATTGATATTATGAGGTCAGGTGAAATGGAGTGTGTGTAATGTCAATTATATAGTGCCAGCTAACCGAGATACCATGCCACAGTTTAACATGAATACTGCACTCAGTATACTTTGAGCTGACCAGTCCTATCTTTAGTCCCATAATGCCGAGCGCCTGGCAGGTAACAACAAGTACCATTTTGAACGTCTTATGGTATGGCACAGCCGGGCATCGAACCCCGACCTTCCACCTTTCGGGGCAGATCATGTACCACTGGACCACGGAGGTGGTCGGTTGATATGTGAGTAATATCCCACATGGTTGACACACAATGACACATACAACCAACTTACTGAGCTAGAACAAATGATCCAGTTTACTTTGACAACTAGCGTAGTGCTAATTCTATCCTGATTCCCCATGGCAGAGGTTTATTAATGATCATCAGGGCTCGATTTAGTTACATAAAACATGCACTAGTGAAACCTATTATTGAAAAATGGAACCAAAAATATTTCTACATGCATCCTTGGCATGTTAAAAAAATTCCAATTTGTGTCTTACTGACCCTTGCTTTTCCACGCATACGATTTTGGAACACAGTGAACACCTTTAAGCTTCATGTACCATACTACATCACTAATTCCTGGGTTATACATAACTTTCTTGGGCGTGATGGCATCGAACTGTAGGTTATTCAAGATAATGTTCACATCCTGCTACATCTTACAGCAATATTTATGTAAAATCATGACACAGTCACCAGAGATCTGACCTGCACTTATTCAGTTTATGCATCAACGTTTCATCTTTAATAAATTTGTGGGATAAGAGTGCAAACTAATTTTGTCTGGTGCAACTAGGTCATGTTAAACGGAGTTCCTTACTTCAACATCGAGCCCTGATTGTACACACACAATTGTCAGTATGACATTTTGTTTTGTTTTGTTTGTTGTTTAACACCACACTCAGCAATATTCCAGCAATATGACAGCGGTCTGTAAATAATCGAGTCTGGACCAGACAATCCAGTGGTTGACATCATGACCATCAAACTACACAATTAGGATGCGATGACACGCATCAACCAAGTCAGCAGGCCTGACCACCTGATCCCGTTAGTCACCTCTTGCGCCAAGCAAGGATTGCTGAAGACAAATTCTAACACAGAATCTTCACAGTATGACAAGATGAGATAATTACCTAAAACATTTTCATGTAAGGGATCCCCAAACCATAAATTCTCAACATTAAGGCACAAAGTCTCCTTTACTTCTTTCCCTAATCTGAACAATGATGATCGATACATCACATGATATCCAAAGAAAAATGTGGGAAGATAACTCGTTTACCATATTCATCACCACATCTACATCCTCAGTGCATGCAAGAGAATGCAACATAACATGGCCCAATGTTCCACGATAGTGCAGAGACTTACCGATTTGGGTCCACAAGTTCCTCTGTTAAAAAGTTCAGGTAACTCCTGCAGATAGAAACCAGGTATCAGGCAAATATATCAGGGTTTTAGATCGGTTCCTTATCCAGGACATTGACTCATTGTCATCCAAAAGTCCTCAAGCTATTTTTCAATTTTGGTAATGTTTATTGATGTCAAACTTCGCAAAAAACATAAAAAATGTCCTAATGACATTTGTCTCTCCAAAATCACTGAAAGTATTTTTATCAACAAAACAGACATAGACAAATAGTCTTACTGTCAGAGTGAGTGAGTATTGTTTTACGCCACTTTTAGCTGTATTATAGTAATATCACGGCGGGGGACACCAGAAATGGGCTTCACACATTGTACCCATGTCGGGAATCGAACCTGGATCTTCGGCGTGACGAGCGAACGCTTTAAACACTAGGCTACCCGACCGCCCCCTTACTGTCAGATAAGACATAGACTGAGAGTTTACCATCACAGTTGACAGACAGATATTGGTTTCTGAAACGGTAGATGTAGACAAATAGGTTTACCATCCGCTGTATGCCCAGAAGCCCGAGTAGAAGGAGAGTGCGATGGCCCCTGCGCTGTAGTCACTGTCTTCGAAAGAGTTCTGGAAGCTCTCCACCTCTCCTGAAACACCACACACAGTGTCAACATCCAACTTCAACATATATAGCTCAACATGTTCAAGGACACTTTGAAAAACCCATACAGGTCAACAGAAACACATCATAACGGAAAGATTATAAATCCACATCTTGTGAAGAGCAGTAGCTTCAGTATCTGTCGTCACCATCACTACGGGGTTGGACACAACTTGTCTATCTTTGAAATTATCTTTAATGCTGACTTCAGCAATATTCCAGCCATATGACGAGTTTGTAAAAAAATCGAGTCTGGACCAGAAAATCCAGTGATTGATATCATGAGCATCGATCCATGCAATTGGGATATGTCGATGACATGTAATCAACCAAGTCAGTAAGCTTGGCTAAACCGATCCATTTAGTCACCTCTCACGACAAGCATAGTCGGGATTCAGCTGGACCTGATCAGCTAAGTCTGCAGCAACTGTCAGTAAACATTTTCAAATTGGAAGTACAAATTTCCTAGTTCATAAAAATACAGTTATATATACTTTCGCCAAAACAAATGCAAAATATAGAAACATATATAGAGAAGTATGTATGTTAAGAAGAGATGTTTCCAATGTGTACCACTTAATGACAAAACTTTCAATCAGTCAAGTGTTACCACAGTGTCTATATTCTTATCACGATATGCTGCACGGGATTTCCAAACTTTACACGCTAATCCTGCACGAGGCAAATGGTGCATCATGCGTTCATGAGCGTCGCTTCACACAACATAACAGTATGTTCATTTGTGCATCAAATCAATCTAATATCTCATGAATAAGATTTATCCCATATATTAACCAACATGTGTGGCATTCGTGAGTATGTTAATTAACATGAGGGCTTGGTCATGGCGACACATATTTCACTAATAACAGGTCCAATAAAGAGAAAGACTTTTTGATTTGTTTGTTTGTTGTTTAACACCAAAATCAGCAATATTCTAGCTATATGACGGCAGTTTGTAAATAATCAAGTCTGGACCAGACAATCCAGTGATTGACATCATGAGCATCAATCCATGCAATTGAGTAACGATGACATGCTTCAACCAAGTCAGCAAGCCTGACCCCCCGATCCTGGGGGCCGGAAGACTTTTTGATGCCAATATTTACATTACTACATAGAATGTGATGATAATGTTAAAATGCAATCCTAAAATATCTCTGAAATTACGATAAAATGAACTCTTCAAATAATTCCACTTTGCCTGCCACGGGTCCTTAGTTTGGAGTCTTAGATTAACCCCTGATTAGCTTAAATACTCCACTGAAGCACCTCTTCACACAACCGGAGAGTGTAATCTTAGGAGTGTACAGAACTATAGTCATATCATTATCATTGACTATGCTATCTGCTCTTGTTTCACACAAATTACACTGACGATGAAAGTTCATACCCTGTAATAAACAAGAATAATCACAAGAAACAAAATTACCTATTTCTTCATATCTATAATGAGTCCTACAATTATCTTTTCTGATTGCTCTAACAATAGCACTTTGAACTTTCATTTTTTCACGCCCAATATCTTTCTGCAGGGTGAAAATGTACTACCCCAGTATATTATATTTACATCTTCCAATATACATGTATACCCTTTTACTTAAATCTTCATTTACATGACTATACTCTAGTTATTATGGTATACAAACAATACAATTTTAGATAAACTAAATTGTGTACAATAAACATGACTTGATAACATGAATTAAGCTGATGTAGTTATACTTTCTGAGGCATAACTACTGACTATGTACCATTTGTATGCTGATCAACTCAAAGGTAAATATATAGCAAGCTTAAGCTTCACGATAACAAGCAGTTCTTTGAAACAGCAAAGCAGCAGAAGCTACAACGTTATACATACATGTTATACATACCTGATATATAAAACTTCTTTATGTCAGTTCAATAAGGAATTTGCATCAACATGTTTCCAATACAAAATTCTATCAAAAATGTTAAAAAACAATATGCGATCTTGTAACTATTTGGCTAGAGTAACATTTAGTCCCAGAAAATAAAGTTACCTTTTTTAAAAATTTATATCTACAAATATACAATAAAGTCCAAATGGACTTAATTTATTCGCAAGGGTCTGGAAGACAGACTACCATTTGACATGAGGGATAGCGTAATGGTGGAAAATCCAGACAGAGTTATCTCCCTTAGTCCAGTCACAGTTGCTTTTTAAGATCTCATATTTGAATAATAAATCTATTGTCAGACAACGTGTTTTGGATCAATTAAGTCAGACATGGAAAAGTTTACTTCATAAATCTCATGGATTTCATAATTATTTAAACGTGAAATAAAATCATAAAAGTTATTTGTTATCTCTTCGTTCTTAGTATTCCTATTCAGACATAAGGATCTATTGACACGGGCTTCCAACAGCGAAGGGGAGTTATCTAGAACTCTATGTTTAAACTACAAGTCACCAATGTTCGCTGTTCTTTCTGACTACTACGCCCATTCCTTCTGACTTTTATATGTTTGAATAAAAATAAAACTTCTGTCAACTTCAGTGTACTTGAACTAGATCGTTTTATGTGTGTCTAAACACATTTTGCCAGCGCTACGGTCAAACTTTTCTAAATTGGATAGTTTAAACCTACCTCTTGAGACCTACAGCGGGTACCCAGGTAGGGTCGGGTAATAGGGGCTGGGTACCTGCGTAGTAAATTTGGACTCGTCCCAGCCCTAATATCCACCAAACATACGTTATAAGGCCAAAGTAAACTGAAGAGATCTATAAATACTGATAATCTGTCAGAATTATGATTTGGTTGGTTTGTTGTTTAACGCCGCACTCATCAATATTCCAGCTTTATGACAGTGGTCTGTAAATAATCATGTCTGGACCAGACATCCAGTGATTGACGTCATTAGCATCGATCCACGCAAGTGGGATTCGTTGACATGCATCAACCAAGTCAGCGGGCCTGACCACCCAATCCCGTTAGTCGCCTCTTACGACAAGCATAGTCGCCTTTTACAGCAAGCATGGGTTGCAGAAGACCTATTCTACCCCGGGTCTTTATGAGTCTGTGCCACCAGTGTGTAGTACGAGTTACCATGGTTACATGTATGTCCCTTCAATGTCCCTCCTACTGACCAATCAGATTCCTCAACATCGCTTTGCATCGAATCACACACTCTGGCGCATATCACGTGACCGGACTTTTCTCATGTTTGTAAACAAAAACGCTTTTTCAGAAAATAGAATAGAACGGACAAATGCAAGTATTTGGGGGCCCTTTACATATTGTTTTGCATTATTATATAAATATGCTACTACAACTGCGACAGTGAGTTGCATGTCAATACGTGTTTACACATCAAAGTGACAGCATTGCTAGCTCTCCATAGGGCTTCGATGAAAGCATGTGGTAAACAATACAGATGCAAACATAAGATAACTGCACAAATGGAAATACTTGTTCACGATTTAGGATATTTTCTCAATGAAAGTTAACCACTCTATGACATATGTTTATCTGGACTTGTCAAAACTGAAACAGATGACAAACATATGCAATATCTTGAATGGACTGTGTAAGATGTGACGAATCGTCACCTGGTGCTGTCCTGTGGCAGGGGTACTATGGTGGTCGCATGGAACTCTGGATAGGAGAGTGACGGAATCACTTATACTATGTATACATCCAATAAATTCTCTTGCTCTCTTGTCATAATCATAAGATTGACCTGAATTTATGCCCAGTGTCAAAAATTAATAACATACTGCCGAAAACGTCACAGCAAGTCACAAATTTGTCAGTGTTGACATGCACTGGGCGGTGCATGTAGAAATAAATAATAGCGTGCATTTATCAATATGATTTGTTTGTTGTTTTACGCTGCACTCAGCAATATTCCACCTATATGATGGTAGTCTGTATACAATCGAGTCTGGACCAGACAATCCAGTGATTGACATCATGAGCATCGATCCCGTTAGTCGCCTCTTAAGACAAGCATAGTCGTCTTTTATGGCAAGCATGGGTTGCTGAAGATCTATTCTAACCCGAATCTTCACAGGTGGTTATCAGGTTGCACTCTGCATGCATTATATAGTTAAATCCAGCCCTGCTGACACTGTAATGCAACCATAGAATGAAATACCAGTGGGAATTCCAGGCTAGAGCAGGTCCCCAGAAATCTATACATGTTCTACGAGGCACCTAACAGTAAGGGTGGTCAGCCTCCGTGAGTTGTGTGTCATCATCGTACCCCGACGGTGCGTACCCCGACGGTGCGTACCCCGACGGTGTGGGGCATTGCTTACGTTATCCCATTTACTAAGTGTCCTCATGCTTGTCAGAATAGGTCTTCAGCAACCTATGATTGCAGTAAAAGGCAACTATGCTTGTCGTAAAAGGCGACTAACGGGATCGGGTGGTCAGGCTCACTGACTTGGTTGATGCATGTAATCGTATCCCCATGATCCCACTTGCGTAGATCGATGCTCATGAAATCAATCACTGGATTGTCTTGCCCAGACTCAATTATTTACAGCCTGCCGTCATATAACTGGAATATTTCGGAGTGGGGTGTTAACCAAAAAACAAACGTCTACGACAAGCATGAATTGCTGAAGACCAATTCTAAACTGAAACTTGATCTAGTAGTGGTAAATGAACAGGTGAAGTACTGTTTACCTGAATACAAATCCCCGTTAGGAAAAACACCTAAACACAAGAGGCATTGCAGCAGCAACTAACTGATCTAAACTGAATCTAATTATTATTCATAACTAAATCATATATATATAACATTATCATGATAATTTTACTTCTGTAGCAGTAGCATGAATACTGCAGATTAGTGTTGGGAACAGCGAAGCAGAAGATTAATTTAGTTCATATCAATTTGCTTCCATAGAGAATGATGAAATATATCTGTAATCCATATTCATGAGCTGCTTATTTACTGTGTGGTTTACAAAGGCTCGTAATCTTATTCCAATAAAAACGATGCATGCCT